TTCTCGGTCTGTTAGCTCTTCTTTAGTGAAGATTACCCTTGTTGTTTCTGTTCCAAGTGGTGTCATCCAGATTTCTTTTGGATTGGTTTTGAGATACTTATGCTACTTAAGGTAGGCTTTTGCTCTGAGTTTGATTTTTATCTCATAGATATCAATATTCTTGACAGCTCCATATCTTTTGAAGTGTTCTTTTATATAGCTTCTAGAGAGTTTACGATTCATATCTATCAAACTCACATACCATATATCTTCTCCTTCTTCTAGATTATGGTTTCAGAATATTTTCTTCTTCATTTTATCAACAGATGGATGTCTTATATGTTCTCTTATTTCAGGTTCTAGTTGCTAGAGACCAAAAGTTTTCTCCTTTCTATTTACCTCTTCTAGACATTTAAAGAGGTCTTCTTCTTCTTTAAAATGGATAATCAATTACTCATTTCCATTAGTGAAGTTTTTCCGAAGGAGGTTTTACTTATCCTGGGATAGCTTTAGGAAATTCCATAGGTAGGCCTTGGTTTCTTTTTCTGAACTTTCCGGAATGTTTGCTTGGCTCCTAATCAATATGCTCCTTTCTTACTTATATAGTATGGGTTTGAAGTAGGACCTGTAGTCCTATTTCTTGTACTATATAAGCTGCATTTGCTTATGTTTTGGCCTTGAATCTTTTCTCTAAATGCTTCAAATTCCATGTCTTTCTTTATCTTCTCTTGTTTATGAGCATTGGACATTGTAATTTTATTATCCGATGTTGGTTCATTTTCTACAGAAGCAACAATTTCTATGGGCAGGGTTTTTGTTTTACTCGAATATTCTTCTTCTATCATATCTAGGAATTTATCCTCAATATATTGTTGAAACAGGTCTGTTTCTTTGTCCTTTTCTAATTGCTATAGATAAGTTATATGTTGGATTAAAACCCATTCCTTATGGAATATAGTTTTTTCTATTCCTAAGATACTTGCAATAATACTATCAAGTATTGTGCAAGTTTTTGGAGCTGGAGCTAGCATTCTTTCTTTATATTGAGTGATAGTCAGTCTTCGTTTGACTATTTGTTGTGTAGCCCATAGCTCACTATGTTTGTCATACTTTTTTGTGAATCAGATTAGTGTGTTAATAATATCCTTCTCTTTTTTATTTATTATTTGTAGAATCTTTTCAGTTTTGTTCATTGCGTACGTAGTATAATGAATAATAATAGGAGTGGATTATGTAGTGTTGATGTTGCCACATGGGACAGAAAAACCTTTTACATGTATTGCTTGTTGTTTTTAGATATTCTCCTATTTTGCTATGTGTCTTAATCTTGTTTTAATTAGACATGTATTGAGTATTCTGTTTTGTCTAGTGTTGTTTACCTATTTACACTAGCTTGTTGTTGTGTTTACAGATCCCTAACACTCTATTTATATTGATCACTTTTTGTTGTGATAGTAGTGATCGTTAATTTTACCAAATTTAGCCACTCTTGTTGTGCTGTTGTGATAGTAGTGATCATTAATTTTATCAAATTTAGCCACTCTTGTTGTGCTGTTGTGATAGATCTTTGTCAAACTTATTTTGACAACAGCTTTATATATGTGTATATGTTCGCACTACTTTGGTGAGGTGTTTTGATATGTGTGGCAATGGGGTATGCACGTTAGACTGTTTAGATCTTGGGAAACTTTAATATCCTTCTGGGTCTTAAGGAATTCGAGATTTGCTTAATTTATCAAGCAAACCTATTTGCTTTGAGATTCCTTGTAGTGTTAAGAAAGGTGTTAACCTACACTGGCCTGGCTGCAAGCTTTGTGAAGTTGATATTGGCTCCCCTTTTCTGACTGTGAATCAGTTTATGTTGACTTGTTTCCTTCTTCTTAGGAAAGAGAAAAAGGCCTAGATTGTTGATATATGTTGTGTTTTCTTAGTGATCACCAGACTAAAACTATGCATGAAGTGTTGTTCTGTACTAAGATGTCTCTTGTATATTGGTATTATGAGAGTATATGTCTTGAGTTGTGTATGTTGTCTCTTTTCTTGGGTATATTGCCTAAAAAAGAAAATTCTAAAGATCTGAGGGATTTGCAGAAAGAGTTTTTTTTTTTTTTTTCTTATGTAATAACTAATTTATCTTTATATATTATTAGATAAAGAACTATACTATTTAAAAAATATGAGATGTTCACTAAACTAGTTTGAACTAAACAAGACTAAGTCTCAATTAGATACTTTAAATCAAATTTAAGAAACAATATTATACTCTTCTAATAGTTTGACATAGTATCTTTAAATTAATTAAGATTATTATCAATAGTTTATTACTATTGATTATTCTAAAAAATGATGAATTGTTAAAATTGATACTAGAAAAGACAAAAATAAAAAGTAACTCAAAGCTCTTTAAAAGGTTCTTGCTTCATTTTACATTCTCTTCTCAAAAAGAGTTTTGCCTAACTGAATTATTCTTTTTTACTTTATTTGAATCTCAAAAGGAATATTCTTAATATCACTTGCAATATCAGACAAACCTTTATTTAAGTATGTATTAGATTGAAATAGTCTATGAAAAACCAAAAGATCTCAGTTTTCACCTTAGTAAGCATTTTTTATCACTAGAGGAATTTAAAAAATAAATATGATTTCTTTATATATATTTACATATTTTTCGATATTGTAACTGTTTCCTGAAATTAAACATATTCTGTTGAAAGAAAACTTCTTCTAGAACTTTCTTTTCTATATCATTTATAATATAATAGAAGTATATACTATAAACATAACCAATAGAAATTTGTTTACTTTTTTAAAACCAAATATATTTTGTGTTAGTTAATCACCTTTGGTAAGGATTTATATTACTCAAAATTCAAGATCAAATTGAAATAGGCAAAATTCTTCAGAAAACCATGAAAGTGATACTTATAAGAGGTCTACAAGTGACTGAAAGAGAAAAAATAAGTACTTCTATCATCAAAAACCTTTATATACTTTCCACTTCAAAGGTGAAGAAGGCCTCAAGTATTTTACTATTAGTTTTTTTTCTTTTGAAAACTTTTTTGCTATTGATATTAAAAGTGTTACTTGACTTGTTCTTAATTACCAGAAATCAAACTTTTGATCAAAAAGAATTATAAACAAGTAAAAAAAAGTGAAAGTAACTTTTGAAATTACTTTTCAAGAAGTAAGTTTTAAAAAAAGTATTAAGACTTTTTTAGCAAAGAAACAAAAGAACTTTTGTAAATATCTTTTTTATATGTAATCAGAGGATTAACAGAAAGAAAATATTTTTAAAAAAATATATTATATATATATTGTTAAAAATTTTTTTGTTATTTAAGTTTTATTATTATTAAAATACAGTATATTGTTTTAAAAGAAAATATTTTTTTAGATCTATAGATCTAGTAGTACTTCCAAGTTATAATAACAAGATCCAAAGTTCAATATTATATAAGAGCCATATAAAAAAAATAATTGAATTATATGAGAATAGGATTTCTGATTTTCTTGTTAATTTTTGAATTAAAAATAATCTACTATAAGAATTGCATAAAGAAAGATTTTTTTGATCTAGTTATATAATAAATATCTAATTACTCTCTTAAACTGAACATGAACAAAATTCTAGAATATTACTTTTAGGATTGCAATAATTATTTGAATACAATATAACTTCAAACTATACTAGTAGGCTTTGCAATCTCATTTTTAAAACTATAATAATTATCTGAATATTTTCTTTTTCAAATTATATTGGCAAACTCTAAAATCTAAATTTCCTAGTTCAAGATATTCCAATTTGATATTATACTTAATTGAAAATCAGTTAATTAGAATTAATCTAATATCACAGATAATAATAAAGAAGATAATATATCTCTTTTTAGGGTTTAAGCAAATAATATCTAGATATATTGAAGAAATTATTAAAGTCCATCGAGTATATACATAGTTAGATTAATCTAGTGAATTTTTAAAAAAAGTTAATTTGAAGTTCAATACTAACTAACTGAAATTCTTTATTTGTGACTTGTGTTAACTATGATTCTTAGCTAAGTCTATCAACTTTCTGAATATAAGCTGATTTAACTAGATAAGTTATGATAGATTATTATTAATCTGCATATATATAGAAATACAGTATATAGGATGTATGAGATGATTGATATAACTGACAGTAACTATATATTAATAAAAGTCCTGTATCTAATACTAGTCGCAGTTTAAAAAAAAATATATATACATTTTTTTTAATAAAAGAACCTATAAGAAAAAAATATTATGCAAAATAATTTAATTTACTATAATAAAATATATTCTAGACAAAAGTTTACAATTATTGATTTTTCATTTTTAAAAGTCAAAAGTTTTTAATATAAAAAAATATTTATAGAACTAAACTAAAATATTAGATCCAATCGAAATCAATAAAATTCAGTTGGAGTTAACTCATTCCAGTCAAAATTAATTAAACTTGACTGGAACTAATGGCGAAATCTTCGAAATCAAATCACATTAGTACATTTAAAAAGTGAAGGGATGCATACATGAAATGTTTTTTTAACAGGTGTATTGATAATAGTTCAAATTTTCTTTTTTTTTTTTATTGATATATTACAATTCATTTGAATATAAGAAATAATATACTATAACCAAAAAAATTTTTTGGAACAAAAAAAAAAAATTACATGAATTAAACTATACTTCTTACTATCTAAATATATTAGGTATTGGTATATATATCATTCTATTGTAAGAACTACAGATTTCTGAGACGAAAAAAATACTAATATACACCAAAGAAAAAGAAATTTAGATGTGTAAACTTAAAACAATGATCAATTAGGCATCCTAGTCAATTGTTCTATTTTCTTATGTTTCGACCTTTTCCGTATAACATTTTAGAAAGGATATCGAAAACTAATTTTACAAGACTATTATTCAATCAGCCATTTTAATGGGTCATGAATACCGACGTGATGATCGATCTTCATTTCCGTCCGAACTAATATCATTATTACTACGTGTATTATTACTATTATTTGAATTATTACGTCGCGTTCTTGCCGGAGGCACCGTCATATTTTCGTTGAAAACTCCGGGAGATAATGGCGAATTATTGCTCGTGCTGTCTGAAGCAGCAGAATTACTACCACTCAAATGAGGAGGTAACATCAGCGAATCAGTAGTATGAGATTTTGTCCTCTTTCTACGAGGATTAAGATGTGAGGTCGTGGGTTGTGCAGCATATATCTGCGATTTGTCGCTCCCATAAATAGTTGACGATGATGAAGGACGAGTTGATGACGGCACGTAACCTTCATCTGATGACGATTGAATGTACCTTTGTATTGAATTCCGATAATACATGAATTTCTCTCGTTCCCACTCGGCCCACCTCTTCATCACGATCTTTGTGCTATCAAATTCTCCTTCCTTTCTTGAATGATCTGCTCCCGCTTCCTCGCCTTCCACGACACGAGTTTGACCCCACGAGAAATCATCAAAATGCCAATATGCGTATACCGGAAGGACGAAATTCCATATGGGTAATGAGAAAAGATAAATAATCATCCATCCGACATAAATGAGTTTACGGGTTGTTAGCAATATGAGTACAGCGGGAAGACCGAGTACCACGGCCAAAAGTGCGAGAGGAACATAGGGGATGGGACGTTCAAAGATGGAGATGATGACAAGGTACATGGTGAAAGAGATGGCAGCTGGAAGCACAACTGTGCCAACTAACTCCATAAAAATGACGAATTGCATGGAAAAACAGAAAATTCCGCATAAGTCAGGGATGAGGACGAGCTCCAAGAGGTTATGCACAGTGGAATTGATCCATCGACGACGTTGAGAACGAAGCACTTTGAATGTATCGGGAACTATGGTTTTGCAAACAGCCTGAGGAACAAATAGCAATTTGCGTTTCGGAAATGTTCGAAGCATGAGAGTGGTGAGATAACGATCTTCACCCAGGAGCAATAGGTTTTTTTTGTGAAGAGTGTTAACAATATTTTCAGAATAGTGTTCGACGATGTCTGGATTTGCGAGTATAGGAACCCAGTATCCCCTTGGACCTTTAGGTGCTTTGATACGGTACATGCAGAAACATCCGGGCAAGCAAGTAACGCCACCGAAAATGGATTCAAATGCCTTTTGCATATGGTGAGAAATGTAATATTCGAATACTATTTTTTTTTAAAAAAAAAGAAGGAAAAAGAAAAGGAAATTTAATAGTTAGCAAGAGGAATATTACACGGAGATTAATCCAAAAAGACGGGTAAGTTAGGAATACCTTGAATCCTTGTAACCCAACTGTCACACTTGTTAGCGATCTTTGTCTCTCCGCAAAGTCCCATGATTGACGAATCCCGGGACATACAGGCGACCATGCGAGTTAGCGAGTCCTGGAAAATCTTGGTATCTGCGTCAACCTGATTGGTACAATTTACTTGCATTATTTAGGAAACAGGAGTTGTGAAAAAAAATTTTTTTTTCTTTTTTTTGACCAAAATTATGCCTACCATCAAGACTAACTCGAAACAATCGGGAGTGACGCCACTAACGGTTCGAATGGCATTAAAGAATTCGTATTCGAGGGGAGTCATCCTTTCATTAAACATCACCTTTTGTAGGAAACTTATTAATATGATCTGAGAATCACGTTTGCCCCGATTCCCTGGTTTCGGGTCGTTCTCCTCGCCGGGCCCACCACATTTCACTAGGGTGATCATTGGTATACGACGGTCTTTATACTTATAATAGCCGGCGTAGACTTTTGCCATGTTGTGACGCTTTTTACCGTCGGCGATGGCAACGTACGAATGAGCTCGAACTTTTTCCTCCGGCACGATAAAGTCAGTCATAAACCCGAGGCATATCTCCGGCGTCGATAATTTGTTACCAGCACCATGTATTATCCCATCCGCGATGCACATTATGATTTTATGTGATACAGGGTAGTCGGTAGCTGCTAGTGACTCCAATGTTGTCCTTAAGCCATCTTCTCCTTCGGAATAACATGTGACTAACAAGATGGTATACATCAGATCAAAATTGAAACGTTGCTCGGGTATCATTGGACTATTTGGATAAGACCCCTGAGAAGATGAAGTTAACGAATCAGTTCGACTATTAGTCTCAATTATAGATGGTGCTCGAGATTCGTTGCTTATTTCATTATTTGCCGCTGCAGAAGAACTATTAGTTGGTGATTCGCGAACAAGAGAACTAGTGGAACCGTCGAGAAATTTCTTCTCACCAGATCCCAGGTGACCGGCATAAGTCTGTCGATTATATGCGCGGCCTTCGCGTCTTCTGTATGCTGGCACCGCAGCGGGATTGTGAACTTGTTTTGAGAATCGTGATTTGTTCGTAAAGTTGAAAGAAGTTGATGAATTGATTCTTGAATCCCTGTAGTTGGAACAATTTGCTTAATGACAATTCCTCCTTAAATAAACTACAAAAATATCGCTCACCTCAGATTGTAATCGTAGATGTGGCTGTTGTGGTTTTCCCAGTGATCAATTGCCTTATTCCTTTTTGCGATATCTTTGGGATTCTCCTCTCGAAAATTTCCCAGGCGCCAACTTAATACCCATCTGAATAATACAGCCAAGAAGAATCTAACCAAAACTACTGCCACAATAACTATCAACGACACATCAGTTATCACACTGGTAATAACGCAACCGATAGAAACGGTATCGATAACCCCCACTCGAACAGTTTCCAATAAACAATTTGCTATTTGTACGTTCAGATCATTCCTTTGCAAGAGGTAGGTAATATCGCGACCATTAAGGCCTTCACTTTTCAGTTCAGTAATTTTTTCATTCACAACGATGCTAGGAATTATCCATTGTAATCGATTTAGGTCGAGCACTTGCCTACGTAAAAAAAAAAAAAAAAAAAAAAAAAAAAAGTGGCATTGTGTTACAAGAATTTTCTTGGTGCAAAAGTTTTATGAAAACAATGGATGGTCGAGGTAGCTTACCCATTGTAAACGACATAACTCGTATCCTTTTTATTGAGGTATTCCCAATCGTAATATACATCACCGATATACCTGAGTTGTCTTATGGATGACTTTTCGTTTAAGTGACAACCTGTGTTGTTTGAATTTGCCAGGGGATTTGGTGTGGAATAATCATCGATTGATACACACGGAAAGTAATTTTGAGGGACTCCACTGTTAGAAACAAATAATCCTCTGCAGTGCTGATTTACAACTTGGAATAAGAAAGACAAATCGTGTCCACCGGCTTTATTAACCGGTGCGTCCATAATTTCACTATCGACGTAACCTGGAAATATCTGGTGTCTAAAATTGCTAATGTCATACACCTTTCCAAGTATAACGCTCTGCTGAGAACTTACTTCGCCGACGCTAACCCGTGCAGGCGGTTTGCCACAAAAAGCCTGAGTTAATCCAAAAGTTAGGAAACCGACAGCCGCACAGTGAATCAAAATGATGAACACAAGAGCAATCTTTTCGCGCCACGCCTGTTGAACCAATCGGTCATGGAGCCCTATGAGAAACCATCATTAATCCATCTCCTGCGTGATACCCGAGAAGAAATTTTTTCGTGCGAACAACTAATTCAAGACCTACTCACCACAACAAGACATTAAACACGAAGGAGCCCAACAGGTGATACACCTTGAGAACATAACCCAAGCCGAAGGACATTCGCATTGGTACCATCTTTTCGCTTTTTTTGGTTCTCTTCGCTCGGATGGTCTCCGCTTTTCATCGCCAACTGGATTTTGTGGTTTCCGTGGATCCTCCGTTACAACACTACCGTCTTGTCTACGCAGGGTATTTTTACGATATTGTGAACGAGCGCGTTCCGGTTTCACGAGAGATTTGGATCGATGTGGGCGAGCCTCGGACTCGGGATCGGTCACCGTCATCGTAGTATGGATACCTTGGTCCACATTGGGACGAGGACGATTATTCACATTTCCGGTTTCTCCAAGCTTTTTCTTTTCGGATCTGCGATAATCTTTTAAATTCCTCATCTCTAGGACCGATTCAGTTCGTCGGATAGGAGGATTAGATTTTTTAGTTGACTCATTTTGAAAAAGGGTTGAACCCGATAAAGCCTCTGCCTCTTTTTACGAAAGAAAAAGAATTCCTGTCAATCAATTGACGGTTTGTTTTGTAAACCACCTTTTTTATTATTATTAT